GATTTTCTTTTGACCGTTGCGATTTTCTAAATCGCGTTGCGATTTTGATATCGCGTTGCGATTTTATTGGTCATTTTGGCAAATCCAAAAAAAGTTGGTTAAAATCGTATATTATAAGGTATTTTTGGTCACTGAGGCGATTTTCTCTTAATTAAATGGTGAAAAGTATGCATAGGCCTTAACTAAACGGCTTCGTATCATCCAAAGTTTTTTTTTTTTTTTGTGAAATCAGGGTCCGTTTGTTTCGCGTAAAACATTTCCCGGAAAACGTTTTCCTCACTTTTTAGTGTTTGGTTGGAGGAAAACAGATTGGTCAATGTAAAACATTTTACTTGTCAACATAATTTCCTTTGTATTTTCTAGAGAATGACTTACGATTTAATTTTCTTAAGTCATTTTTCAAACTTTTCACTTCAAAACATAAATACTCAAAATAATATTATTTTATAAATTTAATATTAATATGATATCTTTGAATCATTTTAATAAAAATATTAATTATTAACATATTTAAAATATATTTATTAATATTTTTAATAATATTATATAATAATATACTCAATTATATTATAATAATACATGATATTATTATATTCTTATTTTAATAATATATACTAAGTTATTAATAAAATTTATATTATTTATTAATTTCTTAAAAATAATATTATTGAATTATTAATAGTGAATACTTTTATTTATGTATTTAATATTAATATAATTGTCTAATAATATTATAAAAATTCCTTAAAATATATTTAGTAATAATTTTAAAATATAATATAATATTTTTATTTTTATAGATATTCAATATAATTTATCATATTTTATTTTAATAGAATATACTAGAGTTAATATTTTTATTTATAAAATGATAGAAATGGTATTTTATTAATAATATTGGCATAAATAATATTAAATAAATTATTCTAATATTTTTAAAATAATAATATTAAGTTTTTATAATAAATAATATTATTTATTATATTTTATATTTGTAATAAATAATTTCTAAAAAAATTATCAGCTAGTGAAAAATGATTTACACAACATCTTCCAAACACCATAAAACATTTTCCAAAAAATGTTTTCCAAAAGATGATATTTATTTTACAAAAAATTTCAGTGAAACAAATGAAGATGGGATTTTCAACATGTTCTGGAATCTTACAGTTGAGAATCCACTGGGGACTATTAAGATATTGGTATAGTAGTGTACTCCATGAACTTTTTTCCCATTCTTTCTGGTATTTTTTTTATTCCTATTGGTGGAAAAACGAATACACGAATAATGTTGTTTGAATGCTATTTTATTTGGTATAATCTTTTTTTAGGTGGCTAAAGTGTATCGTATCCATGGCAGGAACACTTCACAAGGTCTGCTAATCTTGAATTTATGCCGGTATCTTATTTTGGAATTACTAACGCCATAGATGCCTATGTTGAAACCTTCATTTGTCCCTTTGATTTTGATGCTTATAGTCCTGCTTTTCTTGGCTTTTGTTTCATTGAAAAGTTGTAAACGAAATTTTATATTAATTGTCAATTCTTTATTTTTTATTTTTTTAATTTTTAGCTCTGGTCGTGTCAGATTGTGAATAGATGAATGTTCATTCCAATCCATTTTATATATCGACATATATTATATTCATATCTTAAACCTCAAGTCTCTGAGGAATATAAAAGAGAATTTTTCTACCATAATTCTGAATTCTTCACTGTTATGGTTCTCCATCTTATCTGCATCTCCTTTTCTTTGATTTTAACGCGCATTCTGCGTAGCTTTTAACCTTATGAGTGATTCATACTACCACTCAAATTAGCTTCACTTTCTGCTGCACCAAATTCAGAGTTGTTTTAGATTAGTTCATTTGTAAATGAACACTCAGAAGATTGGTTGCCAAGAAAATGTAGAACAGAACCTTGGGTTCATTAGGGACTACAATTTTGATCATGTTGGTTTCCAACAGCCTTGGAACATGGGATTGCAGCAGCCAAATCCTGGAGCTTCTAAGTCATCGTCCACCAATACGATTATGGGTGGTTTTCAGACGCCCGGTGCTGCCTTTTATGCAACTGAAAGATGCATGGGGTTTCCCCAGTACGGGTCGTCTCAAGGAGGAGCTGCTTTTCGCTCTCAATACAACAAGATCTGCAGCAATTCACAGTTTCCTTCATTTCACGGCTTGGGGGACAACTTTTCAATCCAATCGGTTGCTCAAGGTGAACCAAACTATGAACCCAGGAATACATTGCAGTCACCAGTGAAATCTCAGATTTTTTGCGATAAGTACCAGAAATCCTCGGAAAAGTCCTACAAAATTCCATGCACAAACATACAAACGAGCCAGGTTTGGTCACATGATCTGAGTAGCTTGCTTGGAAACAATGCTGCCACCGTGGGGAATCACTTTTCGGTTCCTTTCCGAGGAAATCAGGATCAAAGAGTAAGTTCTTTGTTCATTTTACAATGAATCCCGATTAACCTCGTGGCGAAAGAAGTTTGTCTTGACTATGTCTCGACCGTTTCACTCTGCAGGTTTGTTGTAATTCACATGGTTCTTCGCCTGCAAAGCTAAGCTTCTTTCAACAAGAGAAGCAATCTTCAAACTATTCATCTGGTTCTGGGGGCTTTTCAGTTTCATCGAGTAACGCCCCTACCAGCGGCTCGGTGCTTGCTAGTAAAACTCGAATAAGGTGGACGCAGGACCTCCATGACAAGTTCGTGGAGTGCGTTAAACGCCTTGGGGGTGCCGAGAGTAAGTCAAAACCTAGAGAATTCAATGATTGGTTCTTGAAGCAATTAGTTATGTATTATTGCTTTTGATCAAACAGAAGCAACCCCGAAGGCAATTCTGAAACTGATGGATACTGAAGGATTGACCATCTTTCATGTTAAAAGCCATCTGCAGGTACTAATTCAATTTTGACAACTTTGGATGATGATTAAGATATGATATTCTAACTAAACGCTAACATCAGACTTTGTTTCATCTGATTTCTTACAGAAATATCGAATAGCAAAATACATGCCAGACTCTGCTGAAGGTATAATCCACTTATTATGACTTCATTCTCAAGTAACGATCTAATGGTATTACGAAAATTCATAGTCTCCTCTCATACCTGTTGCAGGAAAATCAGAGAAAAGAACGAGTACAAGCGACGTAACTCAGATCGACGACAAAACGTAAATTTCTGAACCCCTTCTTATTCTCCTAATATGTTCTTTTTTTCTCTGCATTTCCACCATGTTCTCCTAGTCTAATGCTATATGTTAGATGATGCAATTTAATCAAATTCTGTAATGTGTCCAGCAGTGGTTTGCACCTGACAGAGACGTTGCAACTTCAGTTAGACGTCCAGAGGCGTCTTCATGAACAATTAGAGGTAAAACAATGTTCTGTTTTACTATTTGGTACCATCCTGTTTCATAACTCTAAAAATTGAATCTTGTTTCTTTTTACCGTCTAGATTCAGCGAAATCTACAGTTGAGAATCGAAGAACAAGGAAGGCAGCTTAAGATGATGATTGATCAGCAACAAAAAACAAGTGAAAGCCTCTTGAAAAAACAAGATTCCAACATCACAGCATTTGATCCTGATCCATCATTTTGCTTCGAAGACGTCGAAGAAGCCTCGATTGCAGAAAGTTCAGGAACTGCTCACCTTCCATCCAAGATAAGTTAGAGCTTAGCAAGTTCACGTCCCATTTAAATAAAAAAAATACAAGCTTTCATGGCATGCCACCGAATTGAACTATTTATGCACATCAGGCTCTTGTAACAATGCCCAGTTTTAAGTGCCATAGACTGGTCAATATGATTCTATTGGGATAGTTTGAGGAGAAATTGTTTTTGGCATGTGGAAGGACTTTATTTAGAAATTGTTTTTGTTTATTTAGTTTGATATTATTTTCTTTAATTATTGTAATAGCCAATCTCTATTTAAGGAGACAGTGATAAAACAGTATTTTAAGATTTTGATCGTATATATATGGAGTTCAAATTATTATGGGTCAAACAGTTTTCTTAAAAATTTCAAATATATATATATATATATATATATATATATATATTGATAAATATATTTTTGTCCCGAAAATTATATAAATTTGCTTCTAACATATTAAAATCTGTAATAATATAAAATCTTACGATAGTGTAATTAGATTAATTTTAAATTTTTATTTAAATTTTCTCCCATTATGATTTTAACCTCTAATTTTTCAAACTTCATTTTTTAAAATTCGGGTAAAGTATATAATTGATTCATCACTATAGAATGTTGTTTTGTTGAGTATTCCGATTATTAAAAGTTACAAACAGTCATCCGACTATTTATATGTTCAAAATTTGATCATTTCCTATTAAATTATTGACGATCGTCTGAGCTGGACAATGACTTGTTGATTGGGATATGATGAAATTATATTTTAATAATGTTTACTGGCACCGCCATTGCTTTCAAACATTGCCTCGACAATATAATTTTTCAAGCACTAACTCGACGATATAATATAAACAGATAGTTGATACAAAAAAATACAACTCAAACTGTTCTAGATCAAATTTTACCACATCTCAATCAACATGTTAACGTCTAGCTCAGACGACCACTAATTTTTTAACAAAAAAGACAAATTTTGAACATATGATTAATCGGGTGACTATTTTATAACTTATAATAGTCGGATAATTTAATAAAGTAATACTTTATAATCGATAGACTATTTTATAACTTTTAATAATTGAAAGATTCAATAAAATAACATCTTATAATCGGAAATTATTTATGTACTTCATCCTTTAAATTCAAACATTTTCAAAATAGAAATCAAATTTATATTGTTAGGAGTTCATATATCGATATGTAACTTTCTAGCTTGGGCCTGTTTTGTTAGCTCTAATTAAAATCCAATCAAGTATAAAATAAGAATTTGACAAAAATTACAGATAATGGCCATTCTACCCTCCTCCGAACCCGTGTCGTCCAAAACCTTCTTTGTAAAACCTCATTGGGGCACTGCAACTGCTTCATGGCACCCACTGTATCACTCAACAAAGATTAAACAACCCTACTGCCGGAGGTGCTCTCAAAGTTACCAAATTCCAAGGTAAAATAACATAGCTTAAACCTTTTTCTTTTTTTGCTTCAAGCTTGAAAAGCTTCTTTCTTTCTCTGCTCTCTGTAGCTATTTATCTTTTTTAACATTCATATTTGATCAATTTAATAATGACCCATTTTCGAAACCTTAGAAACCCAGCTACTCTCAACTGGGTGTCTTCTCATTTTGTTGAAAATCAACTCAAACCCCCATTTTTGGAACTGGGCTTATCTCACATCGCACAAAGGCAAAACCCTAGGCTTTATAGGACAAAAGGGTCAGTTGTAACTGAAGCGTGTGATGGTTTAGACGTTGCCAAAATCCCCCGTGCCACTTTGAAAGAAGCTCAAGCTGCGTTGTTGGAATATTTGCATTGTACTAGGAATATTCCGTTTATGGATGCTGAAATCATGAGCAAAAACTCACCTGATTTTTTAAGAAATCTTTTGAAAAGGGTTAACATTGCTAATGATGTTGGAAGTTCTATGAGGCGGTTTTTGTGTTATCATCCCATTAATGAATTTGAACCTTTCTTTGAGAGTTTGGGACTGAAACCTTGCGAGTATGCACCTTTTCTTCATAGGGATTTGATGTTTTTGAGTGATGATTCTTTGTTGTTAGCGAACTATAGGGTCTTGTGCAGATTTGGGATTGAACGAAATAAGATAGGTCTGGTATATAAGAAAGCAGTTCAAGTTTTCCAACTTGAATTTGGAGTTTTACCATTAAAGCTTCAAGCTTATCAAGAACTGGGGCTTAGTGATTCTTTTATGGTCAAGATTATTGTTTGTAGTCCTTGTGTTCTGATCGGTGATGTAGATATGAAATTCATCAAGGTATTAGAGATTTTGAGGAGTATGGGATTCGATTATGCTTGGATTAAGGAACATTTGTCCGAGCAGGATTCATATAACTGGAGCATGATACTTCGTGTTCTGAACTTCTTTAGGGAGATGTGCTGCAGCAGTGAGTTAGTTGGCTTAATCAGCCAGCATCCGGGGCTTTTGTTTGAGAGCTCTGGCTATGCAGTGTTTTCACTAATCGCTTTCTTGTTGAAGTTTGGACTTCCAATAGATCAGATATCTTCTATGTTTCTGCTGTTTCCAAAAATCCAAGTTCGGCATTTTGTTTCAAATCTTATTAGAAGTTTTCTGTTATTTCGCGAGATTGAGATGGAGGTGGATGAGATTGGGAAAATTGTGCGTTCGTACCCCATATTACTTGGTTCACACAGGTTGAAGAAAGCTAATAGTTTACTCAGTCACTTAAATGTTGGAAAAAAGAGGCTTTGTAAATACATCCAAGAGAACCCTCAAGAATTGAGTAAATGGGGTACAGGATCAAGAGTTGAACCATTACCAAACTCAGGAGAGGATATGGAGTCACAAAGGTTGAAGATGAAGTTCTTTTTAGACTTGGGATACGGAGAAAACCCTGATATGATGAAGAAGGCATTCAAGGTGTTTCGAGGCAGGGGAAAGGAGCTTCAAGAGAGATTTGATTCCATTGTGAATGCAGGTTTGGATAAGGCAGCTGTGTCTGAAATGGTGAGTGTATCCCCTCAAATCCTGAATCAATCAAAAGCTGTTATCCAATCTAAGATTGATGTTCTAGCAAATGAGCTGGGTTACCCTCTATCCTCTTTAGTGACATTCCCCTCTTTTCTTTCCTATACAACACAGCGGGTTCGACTTAGATTGGCAATGTATAACTGGCTCAAAGATCATAAAAAGGCAGACCCTGACTTGGCCTTAAGCACAATTGTTGCGTGTTCAGACAAAGTATTCATGAATCAATATGTAAATCATCACCCCAGTGGCCCTCTAGTTTGGCAAGATTTAAAAGCAAAATTTAGCATGGATGATTGATACTATCTGCCTATTTATTGCTCATTTTTGGGTTATATCTTGCAATTTGCCACCACAATTTACGGATGATACTTGGTTACGTTAACGATTCTTCTACAAAGTAAAAACTTCACCTTCCCTGCATTCATACATTAGTAAAGAGGAGACAGTTTTCTTCAACTACCATTAGCCTATATGGCCAGAGTGCCTTTGCATCAGATAATAAAGTTAAAGGTTTAAATTCTGGTTCCTACATTATGGTTTCTTTTCTTCATTTTAGGTTCAGCAATACAGACAACTCCTACCAGCTGTAACTATTTATTTCAGTGTATGTCTTTAAGATGAAATTTATGTCAACTTTGTGTAGGACAAGCAAACTTCTAAGTCAAGGGTCTTAGAGTTTATGTGAATCTTTTGTTTTAATTGCCATAGTGGTTCTGGTTCTACATTTTTGTACAAGAGTTCTGCCCTTACGGGTAGTGTGATGCATACTGTAATACTCCATGGCTCATTATGATTTCTTGAACCATAAGGATTTATGGTGCGCATTAGAATTTGGATTATCAGTGTATTGTTGGAATACAAATGCAGAAGATCTTAGTACGAACCTCCCATTACCTATGGGCACGGTAGGGCCAGAATCAGGAAATGCAAGACTGGCTAGGTAGTTATCTCGAAACTTTGTATTGTTCGACCCCGGATCATAGCAGAGTGAGCTCTGAAGAGCAGCTGATTAACTGCAGATAACATTTATCTTTAGTTGATTGTATTTATTTTTTTCTCCACCAGATTTATCCGATTACTAAAATAGAGTTTTGTCAACTGCAGCTAACAATTATTATATTATTTTTATTTTTTAATTATAAAATATGAAATGTTTTGGTAATTTGCTTTACGGGCTTAAATAAGGTAACAATGCCCATTGTTGGAACTTGAAAGAAAGAAAAAATTCCAGCCCCAAGTCTAATCCTGTTTTCAATCTCAACAATAAAAATGATACTAAATTTATTTTAGTAAATAAATTATATATATATATATATAAAAGCTTCTTTATCTTTTGTAATGGATTGTGAAAAAACACCATTCAACTACAAAGAAAGATCCATTTCATCAGATACAGACACATTTTTGTATATCATTCCATGTGGAGAAAATTTTATTTTGGAATTTTCCAATATTTACCCAATGACGATCATAAACCTCATAACAAACAACAACTTACGGTGTTAAAAAGATAGAGATTTTAGGTCATGTCAATAGATACTTTCCCTAAACTTTCACTTGAAATAGCTGAAATGAATAATAACAAGGATCCAGTTTTCAAAATAAATAAATAAAGCCAAGGTTATATTTGACGCGCCTTTATGTAATGTTTTAGCTTTGAAATTCACTCACATGCTTGTATGGCTGAACCAAAAAAAAAAAAAAAAAGTCTCTCAGCTCACACAACAATCTGTATCCAGCTATACGAAAAAGGAAAAGAAAAATTTAAAAATATCCCGTGTACAAAACAGACCCTTGCTATTCTGATGTTATGCCACGATCACCATACACGTTGCAGTCAAACATTACCACAGTCAATGTAGATAGATGATGATGATCTGAAAGAGTAGACAAATTGTTGTTGACAGTGAGGACTGAAGCAATGTCTGTTAACCTTTTTCTACTTTAGTTTTTAACCTACAAAATACTTTTTCTAAGTCTAATACTAGCACTAGAACTAGAACTAGAACTAGAACCCTTCCAAGACACACCAAAGAGAGGAAAAAAAACCCCAATTTTTTCAACACTTCTCTCTTTCTCAACCTTGCCTTCTCTGCTCCTTGGCTTCAGACTCTGTTAAAATAGTTTTCCTTTAACTTGCACCATATTATCTGATCTGGGTTTTCTTTATTTCTCATTCAGATCATTGTTTTTTTCTCTATGAAAAGTACTTTCTTTTCTTCTTCTGTTTGCTTCACTAACCTTTGGAAGAAATAAAGACCCAGCCTTTTTTCCCCTTGTGGTTATAGTATCTTCTTTGACGGTATAATGAGATTCTAAAAAAATGTGATTTTGTTTCAAGGAAGCAGGATATTGGTGTATGTTTCAAGATCAGCTTCATTTTTCTTATTTCTTTCTATATTGACGGTGATAGAGTTGTCTATAGAAAGAAGAGGAAAGCTATGTATGTACATGTTCCTTTCATGTTGTATTGATTTATCATTTATGAGAAGTTAATGCTGTGTTTGGCGATGAAGAGATACATATTGCTTTTGAGTCATAGATTTTATATCTTTTAGGATATCAGATATGAACAACTTTTGCTTTACTTAACCTTGGATTAATATATAGAAGATGATTGAGTTCATATTGGAAAGTAAATAACATGAAACTTTTGAAGTTATGGATTTTGTATTGATTGGGAAGTCTTTTCTCTATTCTTTCTTGGTTACTCAAACTTGAAGATTGTATGGCTTGTGATTGTTTGGTTTTGGAGTTTGTTTTCTTGTGAACTTTTTAGGTTAAATTCAGTTTGAAATTTGGCTGATTTGTCTTGAATCTTTTATTCCATTTGTTCTATTTCTACACAATGATTTATGTCTTTATGAAATGCAGTTCTTATTAATTGGAAGGTGGAAAACCAGCCGATGGATGAGCCAAATAAGAGTTTCTGATTTGGTTTGGGTGGGTTTTACAAGGTTTCTTAGGAGAGTGAACATACTATACATATACATATATGTGTGTATATATATATACTTGCTGTTTCTTTTGTTAGATTTTTTCATTGAAAGGCAGAAAGGGGGTGAATGTTTTTGCTGGAATGACTGCATGAATGTTTTTCATTTATTTAGTATTGCCTCTTGTTTTAAGGCCTTGAATTTTTATTTGTTTTTATGTATGTAGACTGATGATATGCCCACTTATATTTGATGTTATGGTATGTACTTTGCTTAATTTTTAGTGGAATTCCAAAAATGGAGTGTGTTATTTCCATTTTTTTTATCTCACTTGTTAGAGTCTGCTCTTCGTATGTATTTAATGTCGATTTTTTTTTGCACTGAATCCATCTTTTTGTCTTTGCAGAAACCTTCAGCTGTTTGATATTGTTGTTTAAGTGATCCTTTTACAATGAGAGGAGGTAGAGGAAAAGCAAAGAAGCAGAATGTTGTTTCTTCTCTTGATGATCCAGCAAGCGGTGAAGATGAAAAACTTCCTGCTTATAAGAGAAGAGGAAGGCCGCAAAAGCAAACGAGGGATGATGTCGATGAAGATGAAGTGGAGAAGGCTGAAGAAGATGGTGAAGATGTAAAAGGTTCGGTTCCTGCCAAAGAGATGAAAAATCAGGCTGCCACAGAGAACGGAAGGAAGAGGAAAAGGTCAATTCAAGCAAAAGAAAACATAGATTCAATCAAGAAAGCAAACGGTGTCACAACGAAGTCGAGCACAGATGATTCAACTAAACCGGTTGGATACCGGCAAAATGGTAGCAGACGCAAAAACAAGCCTCGAAGGGCCGCCGAAGCTGTTGTTGAGTGCAAGTGAGATTCTGGGTTGAAAAATCATTCCACATGTAATGCTAGTCTGCGCATGTATGGATTCATGTGTTTCTTTTTGTCACACATTATTTGCTTTTTTGCAGTTTATGTGTTCCATTTCGGTAGTGTTTAATTTTGGTTGCAAGTTTTCTTTTTTTGGGTAAGTGCCTGTAATATCTTCCATGTTTTCATCACAAATTAAAAGGAAAACTGGTGACATTTGCCATGAGAAATCTTGTTATTCACTTGAGAATTTTCTCTGGTTTTAAAGATTGATTCAACTCGGTAAACTAAGAAAAAAACCGAGTTATTAATTTAATTACATGAAAATATAAAAGTTCATGTATATTAACTAACATTAATATATTTTAATTAAAATTAAAGTTAATAATTTAAATTAATCAACCAAGTTCTTGTACCAAAATATATATTATCCCCAATTAATTATAAAGAACCTACCGTATGCGACCCGACCCGATCTCATTCGAGCGGGGCATGACTGATAAAATGTTTAATAGCGCATTATAAAGGAGAACATGGATTTCTTGAAAACATTTGAGCTAAACTCTGACTCTCTCGCGTCGTCTTCTCCAATCTCATAAGAAAGGTATTTTTCTCTTTCCCTTTCGCCTTGATTAGCGCTGTTTGTTTCTTTAGGTTATCGTTTTCAATCTGTTGAAATGTGTGTTTAAATCAGCTGCATAATCTAGGGTTCTCTTTTCATAAATCTAATCTAATTCTTTGGTTCGCTTGATTTGATCTATTTCCAATTCCTTTGTTGTCTTTTTTTCTTCCTTACTATATATATGCTGCGACGGGATTTAAGCGATAATTAAGTTAGCATTTTAAAAATTATTTTTCTTATTTTCGATTGTTGGTAACGTAGGCATTGCTGGTTCGCAGCTGGGAGAATAGTTTCAATTGCTCCTGGAAATTCTTTTCTTTTTACATTAAAATGAAAAATCATTGGTTCAGTGCCCTTTTCCACTATTTTTGACAGTTTCAAAACCTGCGTATTGATGTGTTTGTCCAAGTTGTAAGGGCTTTTCTATATTCTTATGAACATATGAGTATGCTGATTTTATGCATTGAATTTTTGTTGGTCCCCAGTATAATTGAAGGCCCATTTCGTATTCTGATTTGCTTTAGATGATACGTATATTATTGTTGTCCCAAAATGGACACCAACGGTTAAATTTTGACAATCGAACTTAGAAGTTTGAGATTCTCAAGCTTGAATCTCAGGAAGTGGGATGGGAATTATGGATGAAGAGAACTACCTTTCTTTATGTAGCTCATCCTCAATCCTAGATGCTCTCCAGATGTATTTTAAGTGGGTCATTTACTTTCCCTGTAATAGATATGCTAGATACAAATACTATGGCTGAACACATTCTCTCTCTATATAAAATTTTGTGTATATATATGTTTTTTGTTATTTATTTATTTGTTTTATGATATTGGTTGTTATTCAGTTAGAAGATGGCTGTAGACCCCTCAGAGCTTAGGTATTATGAGGATGATGACACTCCAACAATGAAAACAATCAAGGGTGCAACTACAGGTTTTGCTGCTGGAACTATCTGGGGAACCGTTGTTGCTACATGGTATGACGTGCCTCGTGTTGAGAGAAGTGTTGCCATACCCGGTCTTGTAAGAACACTAAGGATGATGGGAAATTATGGAATGACATTTGCTGCAATTGGGGGAGTCTATATCGGTGTTGAGCAGCTGTTGCAGAATTATAGGATGAAGAGAGACTTCGTCAATGGTGCTGTTGGTGGTTTCGTTGCAGGGGCTTCCATTCTCGGTTTCAAAGGTATAAATTTAATTCAGAGAGCTAACTATGCTTTGTGAACCTTGTGAGTTGCTATTTGATTTTATTATTTTATTACAACATATTTTGTGGTAATTGGAATAGCTCAGATGTTACATCTAAAATATCAATTTTCACTAAAAGTTTGCGAGTCCCGATTTTTTTACCTCAGACCTCGCAATGTGCCTGGCAAAAAATATTACTATATGGATAAGTTCAGATCATATACTAATTTTCTTGTGTCTGTAATATGGAGATGGCTTTCGTCCAAAACTTTTTACCTCTTCATAATTTCAAGGCCTGTGATGTTCATTAGGATCTCCTCCACCATCTAAAGAATGGTGATAAAGTTATATACTCCTGTGTTGCTTTGAATTGTTTTTTGTTGATATTCCTTGAACATGTTTCCTCACTTGTTATATGTGAAGTGGTAGGAGTTATGCCTCTTGGCATATCAAAAGTCAGTACTTTCTGATTTCTCCTAAATATCCTTTCCTTTTGGAGTTCTTTTACATGCATTACTATACTTTCTTGCTTGCCTTGTCTTTTACTTTTGCATTATGAACTCCGTATAGTCTAGTCACTAGTGAGATAAAGGGTTTCATAAAGGCATCACTTCGGATGGTATATTTACATAAGTTTATGTGCTTTTAAGGAGAATGAAATGGACTATCATGTGGGTTCTTCGTTTCTGGATCTAGAATAAACTTTCTGTTTTACCACTTGTAATGTTCAACAAATGTATTTACATGCCATCCATTTTCCAGGGAGGAGCATCTCCAGAGCTATTTCTGCCGGATCGGCACTAGCATTCACCTCTGCTGTGATTGATGCTGGAGGTCAGACTACAAGACTGGACACAGGCAAGGAGTATTACCCATATACCACCAAGAAAAGACCTGCTGAATCATAAATCTTGCACGTCGTTGTTGAGAAGGCATTTCCAATTAAGTGTGAGATAATCAATCCTGTTTGATGAACTGGATAATACTCTCGGACTCTGTTTCCCTTTTTGGATGTTTTACTTTTAGAGCAAGGATGTTGATTTGAATAAAAATGCATTGTCATTTATCAAAACCATGGTATAGATGACAGTTTCGGAACCTATTGAATCCAGGATGCTTGATTAATGCTTTTGTGATATTCTTTGTTTGCCGGATACATGAGCAGCCAAGGATAGTGCTTCGGTTTCTCTTTGTTTATGGAATACCCCAGGACGAATTGCACTTTTCCCGACTGTTGCATACGCTAAATCTATGGCCCCTGCTATTGTGAGTATTATCAAGGAAATGAAAGAGAAGTTACATATTCTATTATCAAGATTTCTAAACGGAAGTACACCCAGGATAGATTAAACTGGTTTTACTCGACTTGATCTCTTCAGTCTTCAGGGGCGGCAGGAAAATACATATTTGCTGGGCTAATCTGAGGAGTGCAAAGCAAATCATCCATAAGGCATCAGCTCCCTTCACCAATAAAGATATTTCGTAATAAAATGGAAAAAAGGAAATAAAATAAAATCATATAAGGGAGAGGTTTGGGGTGACAGGGAAATGATGAACGACCAGAATAGGTGTCGAGGAATCAAATTCAACAGGGCCATGTCTCGGGGGGCTGATGATTCGCAGTCGCTTCAGCTTTGCCAGATACTCAAGAAGCAACAGATGATATATGAGAACAATCCCATGCTTGATGCCATCTTTCTTCTTCCATCTGAAACCAATCGGAAACTCCAATTCTTGATATTCTAGTTCAATGCAGTAGCAGTACACTTCTTATTACTCAAAAACATGTGTTCCCCCCCCCGCCCCTAAATGTTGCTTTATTGTCTAAAGGGACTACTTGCATCACAAGTATATAAACTGAGATGAGCATGGCCCCACGAATAATATATTCACATATTGAAAATTTCTTTATATTTATTAAAACAAACAAAAGGATAATCATTTCCTTACTTTCTATTTAACCCAATTCATTTTCATAATTTCATTAACACGTAAAGATTAATTTCACTCTTGAAGCGCAGTCCTTTTTGAATATATAGAGTGGAGGTAGAACTGAATTTTGTTGCAGAGCTCAATCTAAAATCAAAGGTAGCATATCAGATTTTTGTAGTATACGTGGCACAAACCCATTGCCCCTTCCAAATTCTTGGGCCACTCTCGTGGCTATCCTCAATTCCAAGCTCTCCAGTTAACCACTCTGAAGAGAAACAGAGAGGGCCAGCTGCAACAGAAGCTAGTAGATAATTCTTTCAATTCTCCAATGGCTGGAATTGCTACTACTTGTTACTTATCTCTTTCTTCTACAAGGTAGAGGTGTCTGTTTAGCCCATCCCTTTGAAGTTCTAAACTTTTCTGGTTATATTCCTGAAGATCAGAAGCAAGTTTTAAGTTTAAATCGCTTCATTTTGAAATATAATTTCCGGGTTTGGCGTTTGGTTTCTTAGATAATCAGAATGCTCGAACAATATATGTTATATCATAGAAAATCTCACATAAAGTGTCTACGATTGTGCATTTTTTTAAGTCTTTACATATATATCATGGTTGATCCCCTGAGTTTCCAGATATGGAATTACATGCATTCTCCCAAATCTTTCATTTTTCTGTAAATTTTGTTTGAAACCCTCCATTGGTTTCAAGAGAAAATGGACAACAGGAAAGACCATGAAGTTTTGTAGTTTGTTCAACGCTGTTTGATTTGCAGTATGCATGAACCTTTTGTTGGAATATTTGTTGTTATAAATGTAGAAACTGAAATAAAAATAATAAAAAGCTACAAACATGGAAGTAATGAATTGGGATTTCTTTCCAGCAATTCAGGTAGAACCTGGTTGGAATTAAAACCCCACCATGGAAGAACCATCTCAGGGACACCTATCCGGAGAAGAAATCTAAGCATTAGAGCAGAAGTGAATTTTGTAAATGCTGAAGAAGCAAAAAAACTTGTAGCAGTTGAGGGTTATGCAGTTGTTGATATCCGTGATAAATCTCAGTTCGATCGAGCTCACATCGAATCATGTTATCACGTGCCTCTTTTCATTGAAAACAAAGACAATGATCCTGGCGAAACATTCTATCTTTATTCCATCCAAATTCAGCTCAAATTTTCGATTAAGTACTACTTAACTGTGTAGAGGGACTTGACTCGTTTCTATTTGAGTTGTTCTGTTTGTGCAGGCACCATAATAAAGAGGACTCTGCGCAATAATTTTTCAGGCTTATTATTTGGGTTGCCATTTACAAAACTCAACCCTGAATTTGTACAATCTGTGAAAAGTCGGTTTTCGCCCGAAAGTAAATTGCTGCTTGTATGCCAGGAGGGATTGAGGTTAGTTTTAAGCATCCTTTGGACATTTGACCAATGTGTTTCATTTAGTTGATCAGAGCAGAAGTGACATTATACAGTTTTTGAGACACTTTAAGCCAAATTTCAACAGAACAGATTATTATATGCTGAATTTGATGTTTCCTCAGAGCTGATATATCAATAATGTTATTATTCTTCTGGTGCATCTTAACAGGTTTTAAAGTTTAAACCCCGAACGTCGTGACGTCGTGAATCAGTCTTATCTTGCCTTAGCATCTGGTTGCCATGACATTATAAACATTTCAGACTCATAACATGGAATAGTTAGTATAGAGGAACTCTAGACGTTTTTGTAAATAAGTTTAATTAATTAGTATACCTCCGAATCTGATTTTTCTAGATCCCGATTAAAGGCTATTTTGCATTGCATATACTCAAGTTGATGATGTTCTTAACCTATGTCCATGCTCTTATCTTTATTTGGCCTTAATGTGAAAACCATTGATGGAATTCCAATTCTTTTTTAATATCAAGGTCTGCTGCTGCTGCTGCCAATAAATTGGAGCAAGCTGGTTTCCAGAACATAGCATGTATAACATCAGGGCTTCAGAATGTAAAACCAGGTTAAGCATCAACTGCTTGCTGTTTGCTATTGTAAAGGCCCTGCTTGCGGATTGTATGCAAGGACAAAAGCATGAAATGGTTATTGTTTTTTGCAGGTACGTTTGATTCCGTAGGTAAAACAGAGTTGCAAGATGCTGGCAAAGCTGGTTTGGTGACAATTCAAGGCAAGATTTCGGCCGTGCTTGGAACCGTACTCGTCTGTAAGTAATTCAATTGCCATCGAAAACTTCTGTTGAAGTAATAATTACCCTTTTCTTCCATTTTCTTATTCTTTTACTCTAATAATCCCATGAAATGGCGCAGGTGCATATCTGTTTATAACTTTGTTTCCGGACCAAGCTGAGAAGCTACTTGAGATGAGTCCAGCAAGGTAGCCCTTGCAGGGGAACCCAAAATTTTTGTAGTTTCCGCAGTGGCAATGTCAACAAGGACTTGTAAACATGAATTTCTGTAGTTCATGCATATTTTATTTTGTTAAATTATTTGTAGAGATAATTGCTGAAAAATATTTTTGAGAATTCAAGTTTTAGTACGAAGTCTAAGCTAGAATGTTCTGTTATGATGTGCAATGAGATTAGGGGACCTTTGGATGGGGATGAGATTGGGTTTCCAAACTATAGAAGTGAATATCGAAATCATTTTCCAGTATTAAATTTGAGTATCGATATTGAGGATAATAGTTGTGATTCTGATCCACTTTGTTTCAAAACTCATGGGAGAATTTTGAAACCTATTTCCATGCTTTTTTCACGGACGTACCTTAGGGTTCGAGACATTAGCACAAGTGTTCACATAAGGGTTATGTACACAAATTTATGTTTGTTGGATATGCTAAGTTGACCCAGTTCTTGGAGAATACTTACGAAACCATGAAGGATCAAGTCTGAGGACGTTTGAGAGAAGCGACGAGGGTATTACAATGTTCGGTGAGGGCAATTTTGTCAAGGCTCATGAATTCGGACCGAGACATGTGGACAAGTTTTCGTAGAAGAGTCGTACGAAGTATTGGGCTTACCCAAAACCATCAGACTTGACCCATTCCTTAGAAGGTTCCATAAATAATATAATTATCTATTAATTTAAGGAGATAAATACTTATCTTAGAAAGATAATGAGGATAATGTTGTATTTGAATTTAAGTACTTTAGATAAGATAGAGATAAAGATCTTGATAAGGTAGGTTCAATGTAAGCCGTCAATGTACTTGATCTAGACCGTTGGATCTTGAGGGCCTCAACTATAAATAAAGAGTTCCTCCTCTTATTTGTAATAATTCCATCATTCCATTCTTTTAAGCGTAATAAACCCAAACATTTACTCTTATTTTATCCGAGTTAACTTGTTTTTGTTTATAGTTTTCTAGGCTTTTGGCTTTGTTTCTTTTTGTTGCTTAAGCATTTATGGTTTATGTCACCGATCCTAAGGGTTGAGTTAGTCTTGAGAGTGTTTTTCTTTTCATAATTCTTTCAGAGTTTTAAAGTGATTCAAGTCGTAATGGCTTAGAAAGTTCCAACAATGCTTACGCTTTTCGAGAATTGTTTAAGTTTAGTGGCTTGATTAGCCTCATTGATATTTAACTTCCGCATTATTGTCTAACCCTAACGGGTTTGTTCGTTGCTTAGTGAGCTCGAATTCTCACAAGGACGTGATTAATTAAACTTGAAAATCATCTAAGTTTCGCATCGGTATCAATTAGATTTAGTCCATTTTAATACTAAATCGAAATACAATATTAAGTTTTGAGTATGTACATGGCATTAAGAAATGATAAATTGTGACTTGAACTGTATTGGAATTTTGGTATGGTAAATTTATTTGTAAATTAGAATGGTTGAGGTGATGGAGAAAATGGAGTCGAGATGCACTGTAAAATAGGTAGTCTCGAGCCATGGTCGGCACTAGGGAGTAAATCAATTAAGCTCATCACTTGGGAGAAGCCAATGGAGATGTTGAGGAGCCACGGTGCTGAAAGTTCACCAAAGGAGTTTGATGATGATCTTGGAAAAATTTCCCGAGTATTTGAGGAACCATGCGATAATTAATTGGACATGTAACTTTTAGAGAATTTAAAAATATGACTAAATTAATTGTATATATAATTTTTAAAGGACTACAATTATTATTATGTTTATCACATTATCTTTTTCTTTCAGTTTTAATATAAATTTAGTGGTCGATGATTAAAACTAAAAAATATAATATTAAATATAATTTAATAATAAAAATAAAAACTTAAAAATGTACGAGGTATCAAATAAATACTTTGCCCATAAAATATGATAAAATTTACATACTATAAGTTCATGCAATCAAAGTATTAGTGTATATATACCCTAAGAGATTGATTTTAGACATGGATGTAGAATTAAATAAATTTGCCTGCGAATTATTTTAATTTTACAATCAATTTGAGGGGAGGTTGCATGTTACAGTGAATTTATATATGAATTATCATTTTAATTTTTTATATTTTGAAATTTTTAATTTTTATTATAATCCATTAAACACCTTTTGATTTAGAATAAGTTACTATTTTTTATATTATTTATCTAATTTTATCAACGAAATTATATGATATATATTATGATATAATAATAATTTTAGGTTTATTTATTTATTTAGATTTATCAGATAATCAGAGCTTGCTTGTGGCCGGTCGTTTCTTTTACATGCAACTTACAACTGGGCGTTTCCGGTTTCTTTAGCTTTTGTTCTTTCGTATCTACGGTTCAGATCATGTTCTTTATGATCTAACGGTCACGCTTCCTTAGCTTTTATTAAGGGTAATTAAATCACATATTAATTCTTAAAATATATTTATGCATTAATTACCCGTCAAAGGAAAATAAGTGAAAGTACGACTCTTCGAGTTTTCATATTTTAACTTCTCAGGCACGCAATCAAAGCATTCTGTTCTCCAATTCTAGGGTTCTTCTTCCTTTGGCGTTCTTTGCTTTCTATTTTGTTTCATCTCCTTGACAATGACAGAGAGTGGAAAAAGTTGAAATAGATAGTGATAGCAATGGTAGTGAAACTAATGATCCCGATCATCACCATGCCAGCTATCGTGCATCTCTCCGCTCTCGTTAACTCGGTGTTAAGAATCTTATTTTCGGTAACTTTGCTTCTTCTTTTATTTGTTTACTGCTTTTCATTGATTTGGAGTTCTTGTTTCTGTTTGGTTTGAAACAAAATAAGCGGGGAATCTATTAACGTCTTTTAATTCTTTTGGTTTACTGTATTTGTAAGCGTTTTGTTTCTTTCTCAACAGAAAACTAAGTACGGTTATTTAATTGCCAGAAAACTAATTTGCTTTCTATTTGAAAAAGTTTTGAAAGCAACCGCCAAAAAAGAAGGGAAAAAACTAAATTGTGTATATACATTGTTAAGCGTTTGGCTCAAATAAAAAGAAAAAAAAAATTGATTTGATTTGAACTTAGTTTCTCTATTTAGTGACTATTTAAAATGTATATTTTTTGTTTTACTCTTTTGCAGATGAAAGAGATGCTATTTCTAGTACTGATTCTGCTAAGTTCAACTCCATTTTTAGTGCAGTAGAGAGCTTACATCAACATGGTATTGTCTTCTGGATTTTTATTCTATGTAAAAAATTTCAGTTATTTTTCACCACTTTGAGTTAATGGGTTTCGCTTGTTTTTCTGGGTTTTTTTAATCTGAATTTCAGTTCAGAGACCAACAGAGCAAATTGCTGATGCGGAGGCACTTTTGGACATTACCAACACATTGCTTGCCTCTGTCAAAGCAACAAATGGTGATGGGATTACTGTAATCGATTTCGTAAACTCTATGCTTTCAGACTTTGCAAAACAAAGCAGTAGACAAGACGGAAGAACCTTAATAGATTGGAAGAAGATTGGGAATGAAATCTCACATGTTTCCAGGATCAGTCGTGGATGTCGTACCATGTAATAGCATTCGACTCTAGTTTTCACTTCATAATTTTACATGGTCATGTATTTATCATTTTTACTCCTTCAGGATTGGACCTATGGATACGCAAATCAAGCAACGGAAGCCAATGTTTGAAGAAAACGCCTAAGACCAGCCAATGATGAGCAGCCTGAAGAGGTAAGAATTGCTGTTCAAGCTGTAATCTTTCTTCATAACAAACATGATTTATGTAGTTAGAACACGGAGTGTTGTGTTTTGTTGTAGGTTGATGTGATACACAGAAGAGAACAAATACTGATGCCAATATGTCAACAATGTTTGACATTCTGAGGAAACATAGGATAGTGAGGATTGAACATCTGGTATTGAATAGGAATTCCTTTGCACAAACAGTGGAAAATATATTTGCACTATCATTTCTGGTTAAAGATGGGCGTATTGCGGAAGACGGCTATCGGATAGAGCAAAATCGTAACTGATAATTTGAGAAAATAAAATTGAAGATAAAAGAGACACAAAATTTACGTGAAAAACCCCTGAATAATATAGGATAAAAACCACGGGCAACAGTAGAAGAATTTCACTATGAGAAAATACGAATTACAACTTCTCTCGATCTACCAAGGAGAAAACAATGATAATTCTCTCTTGATAAAAATGAGAAAACAACTCTCAAGAAACTCTCTAAATTCTCTCTAGTATTGGAAGAAAGCTAGAATGTTTTGAGATGATTTTGAAGCTAAATGGTATAGGGTATTTATAGCTAAATCTTAAGGACTTAATCTTGTAAATACCCTAAAGTTTAATGATTAAAATGTTGTAATTATCCCCTTTTTTTTCAACAAAATACAACCATCTTTGAATTAAATCAAAGTAGTTGGCTGCCATCTAGAAGATTAGCCGCCCATGATGACTTTTAATAATCTCTCACTTGAAGATTTAATTGGAACAATCATATATTCACAACATTCTTTCTACTTTGTACCTTCATGTTGCTTACGTTTCTGACAGGCTACAAGAGGATCGACACCATGTAAATTTATCAGCTTTGATCGCCTTCGTCATGAAATCTGCTATGTTGTCTTTAGTATGGATTTTCTGCATATCTACCGTTCCTTCTTCCACCTTTTCACGAATGAAATGGTACTGAACTCGTATGTGCTTTGTCCTTGAATGAAATGCTAGATTCCTTGCTAGATGCAAGGTGCTTTGACTATCACAAAACAGAGAGACATACTCTTGATTGTGCCCAAGCTCCTCCAATAGCATCTTCAACCAAATTGCTTCTTTACTGGCTTGTGTAGCTGCTACATATTCTGCCTCTGTTGTGGACGTAGCCAGAACTGACTGCAATTTTGAAACCCAGCTTACAGCTCCACCAGCAATTTTGAACACATATCCTGTAGTAGATTTGCTTTTATCCAAATCCCCTGCATAGTCAGAATCGACATACCCATTTATAAGTAAATTTGACCCTCCGTAACATAATGCAATATTTGAGGTCCCTTTGATGTATCTTAGGATCCTCTTTACAATATTCCAATGCTCTTTGCCTGGATTCG